AGAATGTATAGAATATTCAAAATATGAACAGAGAAAGCAGAAGAGATGTAACAAACAATGGTTATAAAGACGGAGAAAAATTAAAGAAACAAAGTAAATGTCCATATATAGAGAGAGAAAAGGAGAATTTGGCTATTAAAGGAAGAATAACGGAGAGAGTGAAAAACAAAACCCCAAATAAACAATAAATCCTAGCCCTGCACAGTGGCACTTGCCTGTAATCTCAGCAGCTGGTGGGCTAATGCAGGAGGATTGCAAGTTCAAAGCCAGGCTCCACAAGGTAGGCCCTAAGCAACTTGGCAAAACACTGTCTCAGAATAAAAAATAAATAAAAAGGGCTGGGGATGTGGCTCAGTAATTAAGCACCCCTGGGTTAAATCTCCAGTACCAAAACAACCAAACAACCCCCCTAATTAATCCTAACCCCTCAAAAGACCCCCCAAAAATGTTAAATATAGAAAAAAATGTACACACATTTCATGAACCAATCAGCATAGCAAGAATAACCCCACCACACACACCCACTTATAAAGGCGATGGGGAGAGTCTTAATAAAAAACGAAAGAATTGGGCTGGGGTTGTAGCTCAGTGGTTGAGCACTTGCCTTGAATGAATGACGCACTGGGTTCGATCCTCACCAACACATAAACAAATAAATAAAATGAAGATATTGTGTCTGTCTACAACTGGAAAGATGAAAAAAGAAAAAAGAAAAAAAAATGAAAGAATTGTCTCTGCATTTCTGCTGAGGTGATCAAAACTATTGGACAAGGACAAACGTCCGCTGCCTATGCCAGACTGCCCTCGTTTCTTCTTGGGCAGTTAGAGCAAGGGCTGGGATTGTTCAACCCGTCCTCTCTTTGTGCTGCTCACTGAGCTGCCAGTTGGAGTGGCCTAGAACTGCAGGTGGCTAAAATAGCTGTCAGCTTCTCCTGCCATCAGTACAATAGGACAGAGTGGAAAGTACTCTTGATTGAAGTTTTGTTTGGACAGAACAGATCACTGAGCTCCTGGGGTGGGGCTGCTGCAGAGTTCTAAATGGGAAGTTCCACTGGCTGGACTTTCACTCTCATCAGATCTTTGGGACTTAGTTGGATGGTATCTGTTTTGGAGAAATCAGATCAACACACCCTTAGGGTTGGGCAGATGCTGATCTCTCCAGGGCTTCCCAAAATCTCTACCCATAGGCTGCGGAAGCCGACCCTTGCCTATGGAGGTGGTGTTCCCAGGCTGAGTCCCCAAGTGTAGTTTCCCAACACTCTTTAGCTGGTCATGCGAGCTGCCAGATGCAAAGAGAAGGGAGTTGCATCCCCTCTGTATCTCTGACTTGAATCCCCCTGGGTACCAATCTTCACTGTGCCTGTTTCAATCATGTTCTTCTAGGCACACCCTAGTCCGCCCAGTGGGCACTTGGCAGGACAATAAGGCCATATTTGTTATGGTCTGGGCTCCCAAAGTAGCAAGTTGCAGTGTGGACACCTCAAGATGGTTCCTGCCTCACTTCTCCACCTGCCAGTTGAAAAATGGGGAGCCCTTTTCAAACACCAGTTGGCCCTGTAGCCTCCGCATCAGCTAAGTTCAGGTTGCTCTCCTGATGTGCAGGTTTTTCTGTGCCAAGTTTGTCTGTTGTGTCCTGTTTGTCATCTCTCCCCCTTGTGGCGAACCAGTACTATTGCTGCTGATGCCGCTGGCTTGGCTCCAATGTTCTTTCTTGTTTTGTTTCATGCCCCAGAATTTCTGGGTCTCTTAAGAGTTTCTGACTGTCTGATGTTGAGCTTCAGTGAATTCCCTCTTTTACCCACCTCCCTGAGAAATGGCACCCTGCTGCCTGAGCCATGGAGCAACTGGATATGCAGCCTTTCTCTAATCTGCCATCGTGAATCTCTTACACATGGATTTTTCTTGGGGGGGAGGGGGGCTACTGGGGGTTAAATCCAGAGGTGTTTTACCCCTGAGCTACATCTCCAGCCCTTTTTATTTTTCTATTTTGAGAAAGGTTCTGACTAAGTTGCTTAGGATCTTGCTAAGTTCCTGAGGCTGGTCTGAAATTTGTGATCCTCCTGCTTCAGCCTGCCAGCCACTGGGATTACAAGTGTGCCCCACTACATATGGAATTTCAAAACAATAAAACACAGAAACAGAAGAATGGTGATTACAAGTCAGGTATGGGAAGATGTCAATAGGTCAAAGGGCACAACATGGCAACTCTTTAGGATGCATAAATCCAGAGGCCTAAAGGTACTTGAGGACCACAGTTGGTAGTGCTGCATCCTGCACACACGGTGGAAGATGATGCATGCTAACTTACTAAACCATAGTAATAACTTCACTATGTATATCAAATAATGCTGTACCCATGAAAGTTTATCAGAACACGTTGTACTCCTCAAATAACAGAATTTTAAAAGATTAAGACTAAAGATGAAATAAAGCTACACTTGGCCTCGATGAAATCTGAGAGAATTGCCAGAGATATACACTATAAGAAATGCTGGAGTCAGGCATGGTGACTCATGCTAGTAATGCCAGCGGCTCAGGAGGCTGAGACAGGAGGATCTCAAGTTCAAAGCCAGCATCAGCAAAAGCGAGGTGCTAAGCAACTCAGACCCTGTATAAAACCAAAATAGAGGTGGGGATGTGGCTCAGTGGTTGAGTGCCCCTGAGCTCAATACCTGGTACTCTCCTCCACACCGCCCCACCCAAAAAAATGCTGGGCTGGTTGTGGGGCCGCAGGCCTGTAACCCTAGCTACTCTGGAGGCTTATGAAGATTGCATATTCAAGTACAGCAGCTTGGGCACTTGGTGAGACCCTGTCTCAAAATAAAACTTTAAAATGGGTCTGGGAGCCAAGTATGGTGGCGCACACCTGTAATCCCAGAAACTGAGGAGACTGAGGCAGGAGGATCACAAGTTTTAGGCCACCTTCAGTAATTTAGTGAGGCCTTTAGTAACTGAGACCCTATCTCAAAATTAAAAATAAAAAGGGTTAGGGATGGAGCTCAGTGGTAAATCTCTCCTACCTGGGTTCAATCCCCAATACGGTGGCGGGGGGGGGGGGCGGAGAAACAAATGGGTCAAGGATACAGTTCAGCAGTAGAGTGCTTACTTAGCATGTGTGAGGCCCTGTGTTCAATCCTGCACTGGTCTGGGGTATAGCTCAGTGGTAGAGCACTTGACTAGCATGTGCGAAGCCCTGGGTTCAATGCTCAGTACCAGCAACAGGAAAAAACAACAAAACAAACAAAAAAACACAACTAATATAATCTTCAGATTGAGGGAAATACTAGATAGAAATTTAGATCTATAGAAAGAAACTAAAGAACTGTGAAAAAATTTCCTTAAAAAAAACCTGTTTAATGGAGATAAAAGGAATTACTCTAAGAGTAGCTCAGCTGGAGGGAGTATGAAATATAAAAGAACTGTGAAACTTCAAGTGACTTTTGGCTCTGAATAGCCTGAATACTAAGGATTCCTTCTACTAACTGTAAAGTAGCAGTTGCCAAATTTTGTTCTCCTTACATTAAAGGAGAACCAAAGAACTTTTATGTGGCTCTAACTGTAATTAAAATCGTTAAGCATTATTTTAAAGGACTGCAATAGTTATATCATCTAAAATATACTGTTATATCATGTGCATGAGCGTATATGAATATGTGATAACAAATATTATGCACCAATGAAAAATGTGGAAAAAATTGTAAAATGACTAATAATTCATTCAATATCACATTTTTATAAAAAACATTATTTAGTTGTAGATGGACACAATACCTTTATTTATTTATATGTGGTGCTGAGGATCAATCCCAGGGCCTCACACATGCTACGCAAGTGCTCTACCACTGAGTTACAGCCCCAGCTCCTTTATAAAAACCATTTTCAAAAAAAATTGGAAGAATGTAATTAATTTACAGGTTCTGCAAATCTCTTTAATGTTAACGGCTAAATTCCCTGCTTCTTCATTCATCCTGCAGCAATATGTTCTTTTGGTTGAAGTATATGACGAAAATTTGGCTTCACAGCGTTGGGAAAGGAGGAATAACTAGCATTGGGATTCTTTTTTTAAATATTTATTTTTTAGTTATAGTTGGACACAATACCTTTATTTCACTTATTTATTTTTATGTGGTGCTGAGGATCAAACCCAGGGCCTCGTGCTTGTAAGGCGAGCGCTCTACCGCTGAGCCACAACCCCAACCCAGGATTCTTTGATACTACATCAACAATCAACAAGTGGCTAAAGGGTCCTAGTTTTTAGTTAAAACCGAGTATAGTTCTGGAAACTAGTGGGCCTCTGCACCTTGGTTTTTACAAGGTTAAGATAAGGCTTTGAGAACAGGATTCACATTTTCTTTCCACCTAAAGCATCCATTCCTATTTCCTTCCTCCAAGAATGTAGGTTATCGGGCAGAAGACGGGTCTCTAGTACTACAAGAAACCTGGCTTATTTACAAGTTCAAGATCCATGTGAAGTGGCCAAACATTATACAAGTAATTTAAGGATATGTTTTAATTTGGGTTTTGTTTTTGTTTACTGATACTAGAGGTTGAACTTAGGAGCACTTTATCACAGAGCTAATATCCCAGCCCTTTTTAACTTTTTAAAAATATTTTTTTTTAGTTGTTGACAGACCTTTCTTTTACTTATTTACATATGGTGTTGAGAATCAAGCCCAGAGCCTCGCACATGCCAGGAAGTGTGCTACCGCTGAGCCCCAGCCCCAGCCCCAGCCCCTTTATTTTTAATTTTGAGACACAGTCTTACTAAGGCACAGGCTGCCCTTGAAATTGTTATCCTCCTGACTCAGCCTCTTGAGGAGCTGGAGTTATAGGCATGTGCCACAATGTCTGGCAAGGATAAGTTCTAAAATAGTGATCATTACTGAGTTTTTCAGGCAAGACTAGTGATTTTCTTCTCAATGAAAGAATTTTTCCTATTAAGTTCACCACAGAAAGTTATTTCTCAGAACACAGAATGTAGTAAAGGAAGAGGCATGATATATTTTTACTGAAAGTAGTTTATTATGCAAACATGGCTTGAAAGGGTTCTTATGTGTTTTTAAATGATGCCTAAACATAAGCCAAATGCAAAGACTTAGCACATCTATTATAAAAAGCCCTTATGAAGACAAAATTATTGAGAAATGTTTATTTTCCCTCTTGAAATGACTAATCCAGGAGATAATATGGCTGTAGGTGGTAAATTCAGTTTGCTTCCTTCATTGTTCCTCTCCTAAACCCCCAAATCTTTCAGAAGCACTTTAATGAGTTGCTTGCTGGTGCTTGGAAACAGAATGATGTCCAGACTTTACAGGCCCATGGCCCAGCGGACGGACAGGTTCTTTTCCTCCACACTGGCCACCATATCTTCAATGGCATTCCAGTCAAGATTGCTGAGGATGCTGCCAGTGCTCTCAGACATGCTGTGCATGCCAGCCACCCCAAAATGAGGCTCAGGCTCTTCCTGTGACAAGTCCTGTAGAATTGAGAGGGAAGACAGTTGTGATAGCAGAGTTGTCCCATCCATCAAAGAGCTGAAGGGAGTCAAGGCTGTAGTTGCCCAGCACACCCAGACTGACAGTGAGCTGGACGTCATCTGACACTTACCCTGGCACAAGATCTGAACAGTGAGCAGAATGGATTTTAATGCCTATGGTACAGTTATTTGTTCTCATGTTTGCTGTTTTGTAATGAAAAATAAAATATAAACACTAGGAGAATTCTGAAAGAGAAATGCTGGAATACTAACCCACAAGGGTGGATGCCTTGAACGATTATCTCAAACTGACTTAAACAATCACTCAGTATCTCTACATCTCACAAAAAATAAATAGTAATAACAGTAACAAACACAGCGACTATCAGACAAACCCAACACTAGAATGGTGCTCACCTGCAAAAGGGAACCAGGAGTCTCATGAAGAATTCGGTGGATTTCAGGAGGTAACGTCCAGGGACTCGTCATGGTCTCCTCTCTCTCGTATTCTATACGCACCTGCGTTGTCTGAGGTGCAAGCCCAGCACTTCTATGTTTTTTTGTATGCTGCAGACATGGAGCATGAGAGCCTTTGGAGGGAGAAGGACAAAACATATGTTGGAACTGATTCATCAATTCGATTGTTATTTTATTGTGATTTTACTGTCAAAGCCAAGACAGATAGACTTTACCTAACATTTGAATCACATGATCTGGAGTGGGTTCACTGTATAGTTCCAACGATTCCTGTCCTGTCAGTGTGTGTGATGGGCCACCTCTTTTGATTTGAAGTGTAATGGTAATCTTTACGACAAGAGCTTCTAGGGAGGAGATCACAGGTAGAACTGGGAAGAACTCAGAATTCAGAACCCAGAGCCAGGCTTTGCTTGCCTCTGTGGACCCTGGGAGCAGCTTCCTACCTGCATGTGCTCTAGCAGTCTGGGCATAGTCTGCGTTTGGGCACAAGCCCTAGGGTGAGCATGGTGGCAACACATTATTCTCTTCCTCATTACCACAGATATCAATATTTGTGGAAACTTTCATCTCAGTGCCTGGGAGCAGCTTAGCAAACCCCTTGGACATCAGGCTCTAGAGGAGCTTGTCTTGACAGCACATTCTACCCCTCATCAAGGTGGCCTCCCGAAGAAACACCCAAGACGTGGAAATAAACCCAAGCCGCCCAGAGGCAGCCATGTGGCTCCCTGAAGGGAGGAAAACGAGGTAAGAGAATGATGAATTTTGGGCCCACATGGCCTTTTATGGTTTTCTATGTGCTTGAAGCCAATATACCTCCAAGAAGTAAGCCCAGAAACAATGACAGCACACAATCTGTCATTTAGTGTGGGCAAAGCACTCTACGAACATTTAGTCCCTTACCAGAGAGCCACGGGCTTGGTCTTCGGTTCCTCTTAACATCTACACTCTGCCCAGCTGATCTCCTCTAAGTTCCCTGGCTTTAAATATCACCTACATAGGGCTGGGGATGTGGCTCAAGCGGTAGCGCCCTCGCCTGGCATGCGTGCGGCCCAGGTTCGATCCTTAGCACCACATACCAACAAAGATGTTGTGTCTGCCGATAACTAAAAAATAAATATTAAAATTCTCTCTCTCTCTAAAAAAAAAAAAAATATCACCTACACACTGAAAATTCTCAAACCTAAACCTCCAGCCTCACAGAGTTTAAAACTGCTTTCTTGACATCTTCACTTAGATGGGCAATAAACATCTGAATCTTAATATGTCCAAACAAAAATTAATTTTTACCTCCAAAATTCCATCCCAGTTAATGCTCAGGTTAAAGACCCATCATCCCTCATCCTTTCTTAAATACCACACCTATTCCATTCAGTACATCTGAATCTAGTCTATGTTCAAAATGTATCCTGAATCTAGTGAATTTCCCCCATTTTCTTTATTTTAACCCTAGTCTATACAACCTTTCGTTCCTTGTTTACTTCTGATTTTCTTCTCCTGCAGGTTCTAAAACAGAAAATGTTACCTACAAGCTTAATTTCCTCCAGTGGAGCCTCATGAATCTAAAACTCCTTGTTTTAGCCTGAAGTATTTCACCTCTCCCCCCAACCATACCTCTGGCCATTTTTCCACACAGATCTTCTCTGTCATGCCAACTTTGTTTCTGTTTGGTGGCACTGAACTTGCTGTTCTCTTTGTAATTGTTTTGCTTTATCTTTACAAGATTTATCTCCTTATCATCATGCAAGATCTGTAGTTCAACATCACTATCTCAAAGAGATCTTTACCAACTCCAGATAATATCAGCCCCACCTAAACAGCCACACTCTCCCTTCTGTGTCAAGGTGCACTTCATGACTAAAATGACATCATGTGGTAGGAGCTCACTGGATGGTTGCTGAGGTAATGTTCTTCATGACAATCCTTGGGGAAAGTGTTATTATCTGCATATCACTTGCCTACGATGTGGAAGATGACCTACCCCAGACCTGAGTTAATGCATTAACTTTCTATTCCTTAGTGTGCAGTAGTACACTACTGAGAGAGGCCTTTAGTGATAATTTTCATATCTGTGAGAAATGAATGGTCTACTTATTTTGGTCCCTAAGGCAGCAACTTTCCAAAAGTCTCTTCCTGGGGTGGCGAAGGAAGGGAGTAGGTAGGTGGCAATTCAAAAAGACCTAGCGGTTTTCTTTGAACTAGTCCCCTGAGTCTGAAAGAGAAACTAAGTTAAATCATGTGGCAGCACCTGTGATTGCCACATTAACTTCCAGTGTGAGAGCTTGTGATCTAGTTGAAAACAGTTTGGCTTTTTTTTTTTTTTTTTTGCTAAAGTCTATTTCGGGATGCCACTGAAAGTTCCAAGTTAAGTATTTCAATAAATATCACTAAGGAATAAATATTGAAAAACTCAATGAAAGAAAAAAATCTAGGAGCAGACAATGGGAATGCATATGTGAACAAACACTGCAGTTTAAAAAAAAGAGAGACAGACTGAGAAACCAACAAGTGGAGGTAGGGTGCCGAGGCTGCTCCTTCAGGTACAGGATATGGCCAGATCAGTGAAGGCCATGAATACCCACCCCACCCCGTGTCCGCTACAACTGATTTGGTATCTAGACCTCTACTCTTGTTTTGTTAAATAATTATTGCCATCTAGAAAGAATAACAAAAGTTAAACCACTGCCGAGTCTGCTGAAATTAAGATTAACATTTTAAAATTAAGGCTAATATCCCTACATTTAGGATAAACTTTTACCTGCGGAGTCTCTATAGACCTTGAGAGACTAACACTGGCTTTCTCTCACCTTGCATTACCCATGGATGGCTCTGTAATTTCCTTCTCTTCAGATCATAATGAGTTTCTCTAGGATTTATTCGGGATATCAAATCTTGAGATGAAAATACAATATGAGAAAAATTCTGTGAAACTGAGGATGTGAACTTTCAAAGGGAGGGCATTCCTGCCCCCAGCGTGAATAGTAAAAGCTTTATTTATTTTTACAACAAATTGTATTGTGTATATTTAAAGTATGTAACACTTGAATATACACAAACGTCTATATGGAGGTCTATACATATATGTGTGTGTACATATACACACATATGTGTGTGTATATGTGTGTGTATGTAAGATGGTTACTGTGGTGGAACAATTTAACATATCCATCTTGTCACATACTCACCAGTTCTTCCCCCTGACCCCTATGGCAAGAATGACTACAATCTATTCATTTAGCAAAAATCGTGAATGAAATGTACTACTATTAACTACAGTCCTCATTTTGTATACTGGGTCTTTGGACTTGTTCACCCTAGATACCTGGAATTTTGTACCCTCTGACTTACACTGTCGCATTTCCTACCCCTCCTCAGAAACGACTATGTCTATGTATGTTTGACACCTTCCCTTTTCTTTTAGAGTCCACATGTGAGAACATGCAATGATTTTCTTTCTGTGTCTGGCCTATTTCACTTAGCATGTCCTCCAGGTCCATCCATGTGGAAAATGGCAGGATCTCTTCTTCTTTTAAGGCTGATAATATTCCATCATGTGTATATATAGTAATCCCTCCTTATCTGCAGTTTTTTGTTCTATAGTTTCAGCTACCCTCAGTCAACTATGGTCTTAAAATATTAAATGAAAAATTCTAGTACACAAGTTTTAAACTGTGTACTCTTCTTCATAGCACGATGAAATCTTGTGTAATCTTGTTCCATCCTGCTTGGGACATGAATCATCCCTTTGTCCACTGTATCCATGCTGTATACGCTAACCACCCAACAGTTACTCAGCAATCTTCTTGTCAGATTGCCTGTCATAGTATTGTAGTGCTTGTGTTCAAGAAGCTCTTCATTTTACTTAATAATGATCCTAAAGTGCAACAATGATGATGGTGGCAATTTGGATTATTAAAATAGTCAAGTGCTTCCTTTAAGTGAAAGGTCAAGTTGACATAAAAAGGGAATTTTAAAAACCCCATATGATGATGTTGCTAATACATAGAGTAAGAATGAATCTTCTATGAAATTGTGAGAAAGGAAAAAGAAAAATTTGCTGGTTTAGCTGTCACACCACAAACTGCAAAGTGTATAGTCACAGTAAATGAGAAGCACTTGATTAAGATGGAAAAGGCATTAAGCTTTATCATATGTATGTATGTATATGAAAAAAAGAGTATGTATAAGATTTGGTTCTATCTACAACTTCATGCATTCATTGAGGGTCTTGAACTTTATCTACCTTAGATAAGAGTAGATGCATTCATTTCTTGATGAACACCTAGGTTGTTTCCGGATCTTGGCTATTATGCATAATGCTGCAATGAATGTTGGGAGTGTAAAATCTTTACGGGGTACAGATTTAATACTTGGTCATTGGGCAGCTCTATTTTCAATTTCTTTAGAAAATTCTATATTGATTCCATAATGATTGCACCAACCTACATTTCTACCTACAGCATATAAGGGCTCCAAAGACTTGGAGTAAATAATACTTATTCTAAAAACTCCTAGCTTTGATCCAGTTTGAAGTCCCCTGATATGTTTGCCATTGAGAGAATGATAGAAAAAGGAAGACCTTGTCTACTCTAAACATCACTGGGTTCAAAATTACCCTAAGACAAAGCAGAAACACCCTCAAAAAGGACTATGTACCAAATAAATATAGCACCTCTGTTTTTTTTTTAAAAAAAAACTATTAAAAGTATCAGTTTCACATGCTTATAAATATTTTAAAATATTCATATGTATATTCTTTTGTTATACTATGATTGAAGCCAGGAGTGCTCATCTGAGCTACATCTCCAACATTTTTAATTTTTATTTCTTAATTTTGTGACAGGGTCTTGCTAAGTTGCCCCGATTGGCCTCAAATTTGGGATCCTCCTGCCTCAATCTCCCAAACTGCTGGAATTACAGATGTGTACCACTGCACCCGGCTCATAGTGATTTGATTTGCATTTCCTCGATGATTGAGCACCTTTTCATGTTCCTGTTGGCCATTTTTATATCATCTTTGGAGAAATGTATAATCAAGTCCTTTGCCCATTTCTTCAGATTATGTTTTCAGGGCCTGAAGATATAGCTTAGTGGTAGAGCATTTGCCTAGCATGCAAGAGAAGCTGGGTTCAATCTCAAGTACTGTTTAAAAACAAAATCTGATTATATGTTTCCTTACTATTGAATTGTGTGAGTTCTTTATAAATCTTGGATATTAATTCCCTGATATATGGTTTGTTTGCAAATATTTTCCCCCAAAACTGTAGGTTGCCTTTTCACTTTGTTGACGGTTTCTTTGCTGTGTGGAGGTTTTTTGGTGTAATATTCAAGGCCAATGTCAACTTTTCCATTTTCTTCTATGAATTTATGATTTTAGGTTTTTTACTTAAGTCTTTGATCCACTTTGAGTCGATTTTTATGGATGGTGTAAGAGAAGGGTGTGCTATAGTTTGGATCTTGAATGTCCCCCAGGACTGGTGCTGAAGGAAGTCCTCACCTCATGATACAAGAGGGAGGTGTCAGAACCTTAGGAAGTGCAGCCTAGTGGGAGGAAGTTAATTTGAGGGCATCTCTGCAAGGTGGCACTGTGACCCTGGTCCCGTCCTGAGGTACGCAGTTTCCTCTGCCATAAGCTCCCACTGTGACAGAGTACACTCCCCACACAGAGGCAGTGGGACCAAGCAAAGGTGGATGGAGACTTCTGAATCCATGAGCCAAAAACAGCCCTTTTTTCTTTATGCATATTTTGTCACAATGACAAAAAGCTAACATGGAATATTGGTACTGAAAAGTAGGGCCACCACTGGACTATAACTGATGATGTGGTTCAGAATTGGTTCATGGGAAGAGTCTGGAAAAGTTTGGAGGAGGAGGTCAGAGAATGCCTAGAATGCTGTAAGCAGAGCTTAATGGGTGGTTCTGGTGGGTCTAGAATGCTGAGAGGAAAGTGGACAGTCAAGTTTAGACTCACAAGGTTTCAGATGGGTATGAGGACTCTTGGAAACTGGACTGGGTGCCACCAATGTTACATCATAAAGAATTTCAATTTCTTTTGTCCCCACCCTAAGATCTGATGTGAGGCTGAACTTAAGGAGGCTGATGGCTGAGAAATTTTCAAGGTAGCAAATCCTTTAGGCAGCAGCTTGGGTTTTGATGGCTACTTTTAGCCAGATTGATAGTGAGAACTGGAAGCAAACAACAAAGAGATGAAAAACTTGCAGCTTGGTGAGAAAAGCAACATGTTTACAGTTGCACCCAAGGAGGGCATGGAGATTAGCACACCTAAAAAGAACCAAGAGCATTTCGCACCAAGATAACAGGAAAATGCTTTGTGGGCTCCTCAGGAATTGGCAGGACCTCTCCCATCAGACCCCACACATCACAATGCATATCATAATATCACAGGCTCAATAGTGTAAAAGAAAACTCACTTCAAAGCCAGTGCAGTGCCTCGTGCCAGAATGCCCAGTTAACTGGGAGGTTGAGGCAGGAGGATTGCAAGTTTGAGGTCAACTTGACAACTTAGTGAGATCTTGTCTCAAAATTGAGGACAGACAGCATGTGGCAGGTTGAGTCCCTGCAAGTAGCCTCTGACAGACTGATGAATAATGAAGCTGTTACTGTGAAGCCAGAGCTGCAATGGGACCCCAGGAATTTGTGTTGTCAGAAACATAAAATGCCTTGCAAGGGAAGATGCAGGCACAAGTCCGACACAGTGGGCTGCAACCAGCGATACGCATCTGCAACTTACTTCATGCCATTGTGTGCCCTGTATGCCAGACATGGAGCTTTAAGATTTAATGTTTGCCCTGATGGGTTTGTTTTGTTTTGCTCTGAGTCTTCCTTATTATTTTACTATTCTCTCATCAAGAATGGAAATGTTCCTGTAGTATGCTGTTTTTAAGTCCTTTGAATATAGACCAAGGAGAGGGATAGCTGGGTCGAATGGTGGTTCCATTCCCTATTTTCCAAGGAATCTCCATACTGCTTTCCATATTGGTTGCACCAATTTGCAGTCCCACCAGCAATGTATGAGTGTGCCTTTTTCCCTACATCCTCGCCAACACTTACTGTTGTTTGTCTTCATAATAGCTGCCATTTTGACTGGAGTGATTTTGATTTGTATGTCTCTAATTGCTAGTGATGATGAACAAAATTTTTTCATGTGTTTGTTGATTGATTTTATATCATCTTCTGAGAAGTGTCTGTTCAAGTCCTTGGCCCATTTGTTGATTGGGTTATTTGGTTTTTTGGTGCTTAGCTTTTTTGAGTTCTTTATATAACCTAGTGATTAGTGCTCTATCTGATGTGTGAAGGGTAAAAATCTGCTCCCAGGATGTAGGCTCTGTATTCACCTCACAGATTGTGAGAAGAAACTTTTGCTGAGAAGAAACTTTTTAGTTTGATTTCATCCCATTTATTGATTCTTGATTTTAATTCTTGTGCCAAAGGAGTCTTATTAAGGAAGTTGGGGTATAATCCCACATGATGAAGATTAGGGCCTACTTTTTCTTCTATTAGATGTTGGGTCTCTGATTGTATTCTTAAGTCCTTGATCCATTTTGAGTTTTTTTTTTTTTTAAAGAGAGAGTGATAGAGGGAGAGAAAGAGAGAATATTTTTTTAATATTTATTAATTAGTACTTGGCAGACACAACATCTTTGTTGGTATGTGGTGCTGAGGATTGAACCCGGGCCGCACGCACTCCAGACGAGCGCACTACCGCTTGAGCCACATCCCCAGCCCTTGAGTTTTGTGCAGGGTGAGAGATAGGGGTTTAATTTCATTCTGTTGCATATGGATTTCCAGTTTTCCCAGCACCATTTGTTGAAGATGCTATTTTTTCTCCAGTGCATGTTTTTGGCACCCTGTCTAATATAATTGTAGTTTT